TACACTGAGGATTTCAGTGCACATTTTGCAGACCTTCAGGTGTATTTTGACATCCTTGTCAAATTTGTTTTTTAATAACTGTCTTCTCAAAATTACTTTCTCCTTTTACTTTAAGCAAAACTTGGCACTTCACTGTTTTCACATGTTGTATGTACACTGCTATGTATTAGTAGCATTTTTAATGTAGAATGCATTTATTTAATTTACAGTAAGAAATATTTGAATACTTTTTATCACTGACTTATTTTAATAAATGGAAGATATTCATAAACATTGATGATTGCTTATGGATGATCATTTAGGTTCCATGTGTACATGGAACAGCTTCCAATTTAAGCAAGGGCGGCTGTTCATACATAGCACATATGTACAAAAAACTTGCATTTATTCTAGATTCAGTCTTTGAACTGGGGAATGTCTAGAGTAGTAATTTGGCTCAATTGGAGAAAATCAGTAGAGGGAGGCAATTGGAGCTGTGACACCCACCTCTACATATTCTGCTGTGCAGCACTTTTATTTTGGACTAGATTTAGTGGAGCTTCTCAGGATCAAATATCCATGCCACAATGTGTGCGGAAATGGTTCAGAGCTGTTATTTGCTTGGGCTTGTGTGCCCCCTTAAGGGTTGAAGCATGACAGGTGACACCATTGCATTGGTATCACCATTTCCGATTTATACTTCTCAATAAAGAGTCCAAATCACGTATACAAAAACATTGCACAGTAAGCAGGAAGAGAGTGGAGGGGAGAAGGATTTGCTTCTAAATTGTAGTATTGCTCTGAACAAAAACATAGCCTTCAGCTAACAAAACAAATCCTTCTCCTATATTTTCAGACAACGGATAGACTATGAAGTTAAATACATTCCAATTTGTTAACTTTAAATTAATTTAGCCTGACACACATATGAGAACAGAGAGGAACTCCATGGGAATGGAAAATGGATTTATGATAAGCGAGGCAGTACTCATTGAATATTTACATGCCTACTTCTACGTCTGTTTTACTCATTCTCCTTTTTGTTGCCTCCTGCCCTGACAGCTGCACCTTTAGTTTAATCTCTTCAAATATTCTGCTAAAGTATGATCTTTATACACCCACAGAGTATGCCTTATAGAGGTTTACAAGTGTGCCCAAATTACAATGCTGTAGACTGAGAATATCCTTTTGAATTTCATGCTTAGTTTTATTGACCTGAACTAAACATCTTCCATCGCAAATTGAGATTGTATGTCCTTTTTCTGAAGAGGTCACTATGCCCGCCCTGCCCACAGGTGTTTGTTGTCCTCTGCTGAAAGTTGTGGTTCTCTTAGATGTGTCAGAAAATACCGCATCCGTGGCTGCTCTCCAAACCCGTTATTTCAGGATGCCTACATTAGCTCAGGTATTCTTAATATCTAAACCAGGTCACTTTGACAGAACTACATTAGGGAATAATTTCACAAGAAGTTGTGCTGACGCATGGGGAGGAGCTGTTGTCTCTGAGCACAGGACAGAGAGGAGCAGTTGCAGTGTTGCTGTTTTCACCTGGTGCAGCTGTAGCCAAACAGCACTTCGGCCTGCAACCTTATCTTGATCGTGGCAATTTTTTGAAAAAGTGTAAATGCAATATATCTTGCTAATAAAAGCAATTAAAATCAAAGTATCTGCTTCCTCAGGGAAAGAAAGCAAACATGAACTAATTCTCACCACATTGATGGAAGGAAGAGAAATTTACCATGTTACAAACAGGAAATCTCAGCGATAACTATGGTGTGTGGGACTATAAATTGGGCACTCCACTGTAGGATTATACCTCTGACTGATGTGTTGTTTTTCTGTTAGTTTTTCTGCTGGCTGAGTTTTTGAGTGTCATTAATCAGTACCCCATGTGGGAAAGTGATAAGTTAGCATGCTAAAAGAAAATGAGAGATGTTATCTTTTGCCACCCAGATAGCTTGCCTGATAACTTTCCCTCACACTTGTTTTATGTTTCCTTTTTATATAACTTTTGATTTTGTCCTGATCCTTCTACAACACTTGAAAACTAGCCATTAGTGGCAAATCTTGGCAGTAGAGAACCTTTTAATGATAAAAAAAAATTTAAAAAATGTTACCCCATGGCAGAAGGCATAGGACACTGTAGGAATGGTAGTTGGCATGAACTGGTTTTTGCCACCATTTCTGACATGATTATGGCAAAGGCTGTGATCTTGCTCTTCCCCTGGTGCATCAGGGCACTGTGCTTGTTTTTAAGTCTCTGAACTAACTCAACATAAGATCAGAAAAGCACCTTCTCAGCTCCAGGATGCCAACAGCGGGAGCATCCATGTGGATGTTACCTGACTGTTGCAACAGGTTAGCTGTATCATCACACCGCATCGTAACTGATGTGTCAGGAAGTAGGAATGTAGACTTTTTTCCCTACCAAGTTATATTCTATTTTTCATTTAAATATTTGGATGTAAGTCATTAGCATCTTCTAACATAGGACTTTAAGGTGTTTTGCATTGTATTTCACGTTATGTCACCACTGTATGTACCAAAGTAGAAATGGATGACTTAGACAAGCTTTCTTTTTCAGTAGGAAAAGCAAAGTACAAGTTTGTAGTCCCTGGGTTTGCTATGAAAGAGTTTAAATAAGCCATTAGTTCAAGATGGGTATTCTTGTTCCTGTTCTATACTCAAACCCTGTGTGCATTGTGGAAGCATTCCAGTTTCCTCTTCCCAAATCTGGATAAGAAACATTTATGTAGCTGTTCTCATCAGTGAAAGCATTGAGGCAGAATATTCCTGAGCATTTTTCAAGTGGTCCTTGGGGAGTTAGACTAATCAAGCTGAGGCAATCTCAGAAGTCCCTCACTAAAGCACTGAAGCCACATGATAAATTGAGTATCACGGGTTAATTGCTATAATTTTTGTGTTGTAAATAAACTAGAAATAAAATGTCTTCAAGGAGAATTAAGGGGTTAGGAAAAAAAAAATCTTTAAATCAAAAAGAGCAATGTCAAAGTACATTTTGTTACAGGCTTGGACAATACAGCTAAATATAACCGCTTTCTTTATGCATATCTTATTAGCTCTATAAATCATCAGGTTAGGAATGGATTTTTACATCTGTTCTAGAGTTCGTCTGTTATCGCTGCAAGGTATCTGGGTTTCTGGAAGAGAGGGATGACTTCCTACTTGAAAAGGGCATGTCCTTAACGGGTGGCCTGTCAGTATTTAAAGGCAAACTTTGTGCCCAGTAAACAATGCTGTTTGTTACAAAGACTTTCTGCTAGAAAAATGAAAATACTTTCCTAGTAGTAGAGATCTTTCTCTGAGAATCATATTTTAAAAATCCATTTTAGAAGGTTGTGAGAAGGAAAAAGGATAAACAAGACTATTGCAGTAACTATTTTTTTTTTTTTACAATATGTAAAGTCTGATTCATTAGTTTTGTCTTTCTTTTCTAATTTAACCTTTCTGGCTTAATGTTGGTCTTTTCATTCAGTCTCTACTAAAGAGCTGATCTGGCAGTTTGTGTTTGGTTTTTATTTGTGTGGTGGTTGGAGTTTTTGGGTTGGTTGGGGTTTTTTGTTGTTTGCTTGTTTTTTTTTCCCCAAGACCTATGCAACATCCTATTGACAGGACAGCATAGTACAACACCTGCAGGGTGTCACAGGAAGTTTGAGGATGTGTAGTTCTATTGCTGCCAGGATTATAATGGGAATCATTTAACCTCAGTGTTGAAAACCGGGCGGTACGTCATGCTAGCATGCCACATATGAAACTGAGGTGCACTCTTAAGAGAATCTGTTGACAACAGTCATACGATTTGGTAATGATGTGCATACCTGTATTTTCCTTCTGTCCTTCCAAACTGTTGTGTAGATGTTCCGTTGAGTTAAATGCCACTCCAGTAAATGTTACTGCTCTGCAGAGATTCTCCTAGATGTGTACTCTTAGCTTACATGCGTGGTCTTTGTTCATGAGGGGCTAAGCACTAGGGCTAGGGGTTAATAAGTGGTAGTCTTATCCCATTCCTCCCCCCCCCTTTTTATTTTTACTAATCAAAAAAAGATGAAGAAAAAAAGCTGTATTGGTCCCATAACTGAAATTAAGTGTGTTGGAGGATTTACCAGAGGGAGCAGCTTGGGTAGGAAAAATGAAATAAAGGGAAATCCCAGGACTAGCCTTGCACTAACATCTCTTTTTCTGTAAAAGAATTCCCTTTCTGTGGGACTAGCATGAGTGGCACGAGTTTTGGTACAAGGCATGAGCCTCTGTCCCTGCAGCTGCTGCTGTCTGCCCTGTCTGCTTTACTCTGGTGCCTGAATTCCTCAAGCCTGTGGGTCCCATGTGCAGTTGTAGCATGTGCGTGCTTAATACTTGTGACATAAATATAATCTCTATTTGCAGATAAGTGAGATAATTTGTTCAAGTATGTGTATCAAAGACTCTGGCCAAAACAAGTTCTCTGTTTTCACAAGAAGAACACCCTTTAAAAAAATTCTTCTGTATTTGTCCCAATATCTGAGCTGTACCATATTGTCCCTGGTAACTAAAGGATAGCTCACCGTACGTAAGAGATTCTCACATATGCCTTATGCTAAGCAAGCAAATTATTCAAGCCATATGAAATTGACAAGTTTTCTAAGGTAAATGCACTGTGTTTATACAGCATATTTAAACGTGATCTCTATATTCAGAGAGGGAAATACTATCCATGTTGAAGTTGATGTCAAAACTTCTCTGGAGCCAGTGCTGATTGTCAGCTGTAATAGGTCATGTTCAGATTCTGGCGCATGAAAAAACTTACTGAAGAACAATTTTGGTATTTTAGAACATCTTTTGTGAGATGGAAGGAACAATCTGAAGTTTAAACAGAAGAATTTCCGGTCAGTAGTGAAAGCCTGTAAACTATAGAGCTACAATACAGAATTACAGAACTACAAGAGTATTTTTAAATGTATCCACACAGAGCAAATTATTTGCATGCAAGTTCCTCGCTTGATTTGTATATCTGCCCATGTCTAATGTTTAATGTTCCTTTTTAACAGGTAGAGAGAATTGTTGACAAGAGGAAAAACAAGAAGGGAAAAACAGAGTATTTGGTGCGATGGAAAGGATACGACAGTGAAGACGATACTTGGGAGCCAGAACAGCACCTTGTAAATTGTGAGGAATATATACATGAATTTAACAGACGCCACAATGAAAAGCAGAAAGAAAGCACATTAACCAGGACAAACAGGACCTCTCCAAATAACGCCAGAAAACAAATTTCTAGATCCACCAATAGTTCTTTTTCAAAAACATCAACTAAATCTTTAGTTATGGGTAAAGACCATGAATCAAAAAATAATCAACTGTTTTCTGCCACCCAGAAATTCCGGAAAAACAATTCACCATCTCTTTCTGGAAGGAAAAATATGGACCTTGCAAAATCAGGGATTAAAATTCTAGTGCCGAAAAGTCCAATTAAGAGCCGGACAACAGTTGATGGTTTCCAGAATGAAAGCCCGGATAAAATGGACCATATAGAGCAGGATCAAGAAGACTCTGTAGCACCAGAAGTAGCAGCAGAAAAACCGGTGGGAGCTTTATTAGGACCTGGTGCGGAGCGTGCGAGGATGGGGAGCCGACCCAGGATACATCCATTAGTGCCACAATTGCCAGTGCCAGTAACAGCCACAATTGCATCAGCATTAACAATAAATGGAAAAGGTACGTGTACAAGTCGGTCACTTTTGTGTACATTTTTCATCTGACTGATTTTTTTTGTTTGTTTGTTTGCTGTTTAGATGCAAACAAATTACCCACTCTGTTTCAGCCATGTTAAATCAAGTCTGGAGAAATTCACAACTTTATTTTACATAGCTGTATGACTACAAAGCCATTTTGAATTTTGCCAGCTTTTGCTTTCCTTGCAGAGTTTCACTGGTATTTTTGTTTTCAGAATCACCACAAGATAGATCTGTGTTTGCCTTGACATTGTGTGGTACATCTATTCCGTGTACCACTTCCAGCGCTTATGTCATTGCTTTAAATTTCTCTAAATAGATCAATTTTTTAATGAATATTGAAAATATAAATTACGGGAATAAGTGAATGATGTGAACAGAGATTTTTCATAATGGTGTACATATCTGTTTACTTATAAATATTGCCTGAAAAAAAACCTGTGAGCATGATGCTGCTTGAAAAACAAAGTTGATAAGCTTCGCTTTAGTGAAAATTTGAGCCAGTTGTGGATATACATACACCTTCTGCCTGGATTGAATTCTGTCTTCATTATATTTTATCAATATTTTGTTGTTTATACCTCATTTGGTATTGAGCTTATGTAGGTCTGATGCCTGGTTTGCTAATATCTCAGTAGATGACATTCTTCAACTTGTACTGTGGAATTTGTCACACCAATGGAACCCAAAATGCTCCTGTGGGAGGAAGCTGTTCCCCCACCCAGCTGAGACCCTTGTTTAAGACTTCATGGTCCTCATTCCTGTGCCTCAGACTTTTGCCCTTCCCTGACAGACCTAGGTTGTTGTGTTGTAAGCATGCTTTTGAGGCTAAATTTCAAGTGTAATACTGTGTCCTCAAATAAATGCCGTGGGCAAAATCCTAGGTATGCAGATGATGGCTTGCTGGAAAAAATGCCTGAAACCTAAGGACTGGGCCTACTAAAAAACATATTTAGAGACAAACTATATAGGAAAAAAAAGGTGTTGAAGACTTCGGGAGAGTTTGTTGGATGCTCCACTGGTGCTTGCAGTCAGATTTTCTGAAAAAACCAGCTGCAGGAGGAGAGGTTGAAATGCAGTGGACAGAGGAGGAGGAGTAGCGTGCTCCTGGAGCTGCTGTGTCAGGTCATGGACCAACCCGTTTTGCTGCAGATGAACTAGGTAACCATGGTAATGCAGACACAGATGCCAGGAATATCTCTTCCTCTGCATGGGCTAAGGAATGTAAATCTCAGAGGACGTAAACAAAGCTGGAGGGGAGAATGCAAGAGATGCCAGTATGGGAGTGTTCTGAGCGGGTGAGGTAGAGGAGTGTGTTTGCTTCTGTGATGGTTTTGTGATAGTTAATAAGAGTTTTGGAGTATGGTAGTGTTCCTAGTGAAGTGATTGATAAGTGCTGCGGGTTTTTTTGGGTATTTTTGCCTCATGGCATTCAGAAAAAAAAATTGGGACACAAAGGACTTTCTTGGGTACATCAGTAACCACAAATGATTAAATCATTCCCACCAACCTTTCACTCTGGTGACAGTGGTACAGGACATCAAGTGGAAGTGGAAAGACCTTAACAGGAATGGTAGTGATGTGTGAAGTATCACCTGAGGCGTGTTTATCTGTTTCACTAAGTTACGCTTTCCTCAGCTGCCATCACCTCCTTCAGCTCTTCTTAGGCATTTGTCTGGGCACTTAACATTGAAAGGTATTGACTGACCCTAGGGATGATGGCAATATGAGATTTTTGTTGCACATTTTCTTGAGATCTTAAGGTGTAGGTCAACAAAAGGAGAAACAAAGAGATAGTTACAATATGTGGTTGCCCAGAAATACACAGTATGTTTCCTCTTTCTGTCTACTGCTGAAGGGATGTTAGTACAAGTACGTTAACTGAGGCTCTCTCTCTGTCCTGATACACTGCTGCCAGTCCCCAAAGCCAACTCTATTATGGCTTTGCAGGCAGTTACGCTCATCTGCAACACTTCTGGTGCAAGATCCAAATCATACAGTAATTACCTGATTATAAAACTTGGAAACAAATTTGCAAAAAAAAATACTTTGCGTTCCTATCTGACATCAGTCTCTTTTCCTAGCTTTTTAGGATTTCTTGGACAGATACCTTTCTCATGGAAGCCCAGGCTCCAACTCAGCCGTTCTGCATGGCCAGAGCGGACCTTTGTTTAGAGGGAGGGCAAGAGAGGCAGCCCTGTCTCCTAGCTTTAGCCTAGCCTTGGAGCTTCCTGAGCTAAAACAGCCTCTGTCTCTTCGTTAAAGCTGCGCTCATCTCCTTGCTGTTTTTATTTTTAAGTTCACACTGCTATTCATTAAAAATGCAGTAAATCGATGCTTCCCTCTCTCCCCTGCATGGGGCTGTGGCAGTTAAGGACCCTGTTTTGCTCCTTACTCAGGACATTCCTTCTGTCTTAAATGGACACCTCCTCATCACATTTTTCAACACCACCTCAGAATCATACATCATGAGAGGTATTACTTGCAGAGAAATGCCATCAAATTCATACCCTCATCTTCACAAGCACCAGATCTGGCATATTAATAATACAGATGAGAGATCTGGCAT